ATAATAAAAGTTGATCAAACATTTACTAAGGATGGATTTTGGCATAAATGTATTCATCATGTAAATAATGAAACAGCAATTTATATGGAAGGTGGTTTTTAAGTAATTAATTTCATTATTCAGCATCATTCGTCATTTTACTTTTTTTTTAGTACTGAAATGGCGAATTTATTCTTCTCGTAATGTTTGATATTTCTTCAAATCTATCATAATTTATTCTGAAATATTTGATTAATTATCTACTATTTTCTGTAATTTGAAATTATTTCTTACTTACTGCTACTCGTTATTATTAATTATTATTGTTACTACTATTTATTATTATTATTATTATCATTTCAGAACGTGGTTGTAATTCGAACAATAAGTTGTATCATGTTGGTGATGAAATACGATCCGAATTTTTGTTAATGAAATGCTCCGAAAATGGTTACAAAATAATTGGTAAACAGTTTAAATTAATTTTCATCGAATATACTTTAATTGGAACGATTAATTAATTGATAAAAAAAAATTTGTTTGAGTGTATTTAAAAATGTTTGAAAGTTGATTTTTAAAGAATTTTTGAAAATATTGGAGCATATATTATGCATGCAGGTTGCTATTATGTTGACAATAAGAAAGTGATCGATATGAAACCTGGCACAATAGCTGAGGTGAATGGAACGATGCATCATTGCGATGACAATAACAATAATATTCAATATTACACAACAAGTAAGGTTTTTTTGATAAGCTTAATAATTAGAGATGAAAAAAGAAAGTTTAAAATCAAATTATATGAAATTAATAAGTTTTCTTTTTATTACTCCTAATTTTACAAAATTGTTAATTTTGTGTGTTATAATTTTGAAATTTTTAATGTTCAAGAAATGGGATGCATGAAATATGACAATAAATATGCGGAAGGCGAGCAATTTGCAAAAAATCATCTCCGCTATGAATGTAAAAATGGAATGGTTGTTATTGTTGGTAAAATTTTGAAAAAAGGAACGATAATTTTTTTAAAAAAACTTTGAATCAATTGGTCCTTTGCAATTATTTTGTGTTCGGAAAGAACTTTTATAATTTGTGTGAAATTTGCATTCATATTTAAAAATTCCATTTGAAATTTAAATTTTAAATTTAGGTTGTTACATGGATGAAATTGGACGAAATATCGAAATTGGCGATATCGTTGTTAATAATCATATGTTATACAAGTGCTATATGTAAGTTTTATTGAAAAATTTATAAAATTCAAACAAATTTTTTCAATTGTAGTAAGAGAAGATCAAAATGGATGATAATATTTTAACAGTTTAATTGACAAAAGAAATTAAAGAAAAAGAGAGATTAATTTGTCAAATGAATTGTTTCAAAATATTGAATGGATTAGGTGTTATCGAATTTGGCATATTATGCTTCACTAATTTAATAAAAATTAATCGAAGTTCAAGAATATTTTAACTGTAGTGAAAATGGTGAGGTGAGATATGAACAGTATCCTTGTGGACTGAGAGGTACGCCATCGTGTGAAGCTTCGCAACGACAGCAAATGTCACTTAAAATGCCAACAGCGCCTAAGCCTAGACCAGGCTTTGGGGCATTTAGTATTGCACAGGTAAGAGCTTTAATTGGCATTCATTCTTACAATGAAATTATCCTATTTGGTAAGGCTGAGAAAAGAAAATTTAATTAAAAAAAAAGAGGAAGTATTTGAGAAATTTACCATTTAATTATTCATTTTTATAATTGTTTATCAAATCAGTTGTTATCTCAGTGATATGAAAGAATAAGGACTTTTAAATCTGTAAAACATATGGCAATTTAAGTGAAATGATGCAAAACAATGATTGTTGTTATAGTAAGCATAACCGATTATTATTGCTGTAAGTAAATAACGATTGCAATTATGATATAAATAACAATTATCGTTATTATGATACTTTAGTTAGCTATAATACGAATAGAATTTTTAATATGAGAAAACCAATTTTTTGGTAGATTTACATCAGATAGGTAAAGTTTAAAGCTTACATAAATCTTACACTTCCTATTGAAAAGAAACAATTAATAATTAAAATTAGCTTATGATAAAGCAATTTATGATTATTTTCTCACAACAGTTTCTCTTCTTTTCTTCAATTTTTCTCATATAATGAAAATAATTTATATTATTTATTCTAGAATATTAATCAAGGCAATGATAAGGTGGTATCGATTGGAATAAAATGAAATTGAATTGGATTCAATGATAAGGTGGTATCGATTGAAATAAAATGAAATTGAATTGGATTGTTTAAATTGAATGAATTACACATCCGTGCATCATTTATCCCATTTGTAGTGCATTTAATCTTTATGACATCTTTGCAAATTATAAGGCATTAAAAGAATTTCAGATAACTTTATTCAAAAAAAATAAAACTTTATTTTTTAATATTAATTAAACAAAAACGAAATTACAAATAACAAATCTTTTATCATTGCAAACAAACAAACAAACAAACAGTCTATCACATAGAGAGCAACAAACAAATGATTTAGCAAACAAGCAGTTTCCATGCAGAAAGCGATAAGGAAAGAATTAAAACTATCTTTTGCAAATAAAATTTTGTAGTTCCAGCAATTGCTGGACCTTTCCAGAATAAGCCAGAAAAGAGCTGTACAGGTATACAACTGTCATTTATAGGATTAAATCCTAATTTACACACACAACCATAAGAACCTTCCAAGTTGGCGCATTCCCAATTATCTCAAAAAAATAACGAATAAAATATTTCAGCTAATTAATTAAATGGCAATAATTAGTTTTCGCTGAAAAGCGAGAAGTAGCAGAGAAGAATTAATTTCTTCTTTTTTAATTAAAATTTCAGAGAGAAGTAATTCCTTTGTTCTGGATCAAAATTGTTGGATGTGTTGTAAGCTGTGGATTCTATTTTTGCTTATTTTTAAATAATAACATAAAGTTTAATTTAACAGATGTATTTCGTGATGTAAAATGTGGACTAAAATAAGTTGACACTTTTTTCGTTCACAAAAATGATTAATATGTTTACAAAAAAATTAAATTGGAAAAACATACCACCGTATATTTGTTCGCAATTAATATATAAGCATTCATTAATATCCACACATTTGTCTACATCAAATCTATAAATAAATAATTTTACAAATAACTGGAGATAATTAAAATCTGAAACGTCAAATCAAAATTACCGAAATTAATTCCATTTTTGCTTATTTTTAAATAATAAAATAAAGTTTAATTTAACAGATGGTATGAGCAAATAAACAAATTAAAATGATGTTATTATATTTTTCATACATTGAAAAAAGAAGGATTTTATTCGTTTACCGAAATATATATCCCGGTTCGGGACATTCACATGAAACATTCCATAAATTCCGATACATTCCGGTAAGATCTTCATTATAACTTGATTTCAGTACACAAGTACCATTTCCCGGACATGGTGATGGATTGCAACTATTCACACAAAAGCTGCAAGCTATTACGATTCGTACACTATCAAAAGTGAGCTTATGCAACAGTGTTAATAATTAAATAGAATAAAACGATGAGCAACAATAAAGTTTTACCTTGATTTTGCGCATCGAAATGGTTCCATATCAAAAGATCCCAATGCTATATGCATTGTTCCATCGAGTGTCAAATTTCGGGCCAATGTTCGACTAGGCCACTATAATCATATCTTTTTCATTACTTTTCCTTTATTTATATTATGAAAAATGGAAAAAAAAGCGAAACATTGCAGCTATTATGAAAGCAATTTAAATATTTCAATAAATTCTGAAGCTTTAAACTTACAATATATTTTTGCTTCTTTTCCATTTCTTTAGTTTCTTTCTGCAAACAAAAATATTTCAATTTAAGAATGTGCAAAATTCAACGAATGAATTTTACAATACCAGATTAGGAATAACATAAATTAAATGTAAAATAATAAAAGATAATGTTGTAATTCAACCGTTTTTATCATCAGACAGTTAAACGGAAAAATGCTTCATAGAGGTATTATTATTACAATATGAAGAGAAGAATAAATGATTATAAAGTATACAATATTATCAAATAATTTAATTATTTCCTTTTAGTTTCGAAATTAAAAAAAAAATTTTTTTTCGTAAAAACTTTTAAAAAATTACTAACAATAGTTGTGGAAATCGGTTGAATATCGCAATACGGTAGTCTTTCCATAATGTTAATGCTATTCATTGTCATCCAACACATCAAATAAATAGCAGAAAAATCATAATCAAACATTTCCTGATGAACCAATCGACGAACTTCACTCTTCCTTCATTATAAAAATGTTTAATTAATGACTAACAGATAATTTAAAAACGATAACGAAAAGAAATTTTCTATTCAATCAAAGAAAATATATATGATAATTATATTGCACTATATGATTATTGATTGAATTTGGCTGAATTAAGTAAAATTTTTTTTAAATGAAAAAATGAAACATGGAAGAAATACCTTATGAGGAATTCATCATAAATATCAGATGTAAAAAGAAATGCATTACGCTTTTTAATATCATTCCAAATGGTATCAATACATGACTGAAACAGTATTATTCTGTTTAGTTTCAATTATATTTCTGATTAATTCTAATTGCTTCCAATAAGTCAAACGATGGTATGATTTCTTCACATTTCCAATTGCAGTTCTAAATTATTTACAGTTGAATTTTTTACATTTCCAATTGCGGTTTTGAATTATTTGCAGTTGAATTTTCATTTAATACTCCATTTTGTTTTACTATTCTTTGTTGTTTCATCTGATTATCAAAATAGTTTCATCTGATTATCAAAATAGTTTCATCTGATAAGTTAACAATCACAGATAAGCTCATTATCAATGTTAAAAATAGTCAAATTAAAAATAAGAAAAAGACGTTTGGCAAGAATGAATGAAATATTAATCGTCAAATTAAGATTCATTTAATTAAATGAAACAATCTCCATATTATGATGATTAACCTGTGATCAATTTCAAAATTTTAATCCTAATTGTAATTAGTTTACAAATTACGTTTACAAATTGTACAAAGATGTATTCGAAATGTATTTAAATAACAGGTCATCCTAATTTGTCAACAAATGTAGCACATGTAAAATTAGTTTAGACATTTGACAACAATGTTAGATGTAAACAATAAACAAACATTAGACGTATCGTTCTTAATTACTTTATAAAAAAATCAAAATTAACTACTAACCTTAAATCCTCGAATGCATACTTCATAAAGGTCATTGGAGAAATTAATCTGCGGGAAAGCGTATATAAAATTACTGTGAGTTGTAGACGGTTGTTCAATCCACATTCGATAAATTCGAGAATAAAATGCAAGTTGACCAAGAATATTCATGTAATAAAGACGAACATATCTATTCATCGATTTTATCTCACTTAAATTTGACAGGTATTAAAATTAAATTAAATGCTAATCGATAATGGCATGTAATAAGTTGTTTGAAATAGTTCATACTTTGAATATTTTTCAGCTAATGTTTGATTAAAATCGCTTAAAAAATCTTTCTCTTCGATATGTTGCGCCTTACCAATGAATGCTAAATAATTCAATGTTAATAATAAAATAAATAACAGTTTAAAATTGAAACGACCGCTCGTCATTTATAATTTTATTAATTGCTTTCTTTTTGACGAACAGAAACAATCGAAAAGGCGAGAAATGTATATACATTAGGCGATGAACAGTAAACTTTTTTTTCTTTAGATCTATATTTATTTGAAATTTTTATTTAAAAAATAAGCTATAAAAGGAATTTTTCTTCAATTGGAGTTAAAATGAAGTGCGAGAAGTGAAAAAAGAAAGATGAAAGGAAAGCGAAAGTAATAACCAAAGTGACCTGTGATAGCAATGAAGGTGAATGCCTTCATGCTTTTTATTACTGTCGTATAATTGTTCATTTCATTTCTCTCTGTAAATGAGAGCATTGTCCTTCATCCATTCTTACTTTTTCAAATTTGACTTAACACAACTAAATTTATGCTCATTTTCATTTGAGTTTACACTTAAGAAATCTACGGAATACACATGAAATTCCGCAGATTTCTTAAGTGTAAACTGAAATAAAAATAGTCATAAATTTTTTTTCTTCAAGTATTTAAAATTTTTTCAAATGCTCAAATATTAAAAGACTCTTCTTAAATGTTTTTCACTTGAGTTTAATTTATAAAAAGTAAAGTAAAATTTTGTAGCTCTCCTATTTGTAACATATTTTCACGGGCGAAAAGATTTCTTTATTACGAAATATCTGCGAATTCCTGTGACATTGAATAATACGCTATTTTTTAAAATTCTTTTTAAAAAAATTTTTCCAGCGATAGACATCATTAAATTTCATGAAACACTTTAAGAATAATTATCAATTTCCATTTTTTTTTATTTCATAGTCGAATTCAAATGTTCTCAAAAGATAATCAGTTATAGGCATGAAGAAAATTGTATGTTTGGACTTCGTAAAAGATAACAAGACAAATTTAAATGCGAAAATTTTTATTCCAGCAGAAAATTTGCAAATTTCTGAGTTTTCAATCAAATTACCCAGACGTGCTCATCGGAAACAAAAAAGTTAAATTAGTTTTATTTTATTCCTTCTGCTTCGTGATTGAATTCTTTTCCATTAGACACTTCAGCATACTTACCTGCGACAGAAATAACAGACTAACTTTTGAATAACTTTAAAGCAATCTTTGCTTATAGCATTTTTTGAATAAAAAAAAACAGGTAAATTAGAGTTACATTTTTGAATACAAATTCTGAAGTGGTATAATTAGAAAAAAAGGAAAAATTTTGAAATAGTATAATTGCTAATTCCTATTTTGACTCAAATAATGTATGGAATCATTCGATTTCAAAATATTGTTACTTACCTGCGTGATATAAGTAAGTGACAATATTCTATTACTTATCTGCATCACGAAGGAAATATCTTAAATATCATTCATTTGATAAAATGTTTTTTATACACTAACGAAATAAGTAATTAGCATTGCTTTATATTACAATAGCATGAAATTGACGATCTTCTATTTATGAGATTTGAAATCGCCGATGATTCCCATCAGGTCACTAACATAAGATCAACAGCAATTTAAGGTCAACTCGGCTACAACAGCAATTTGAGGTCAACCTGGCTATAACTCATCATTATCAAAAATTATGCCTCCATCGAGCAAATTTGGTGATATTTTTCTACTTGAAAAGTTGAACAATTTTTTGTATATGCGAAACGTATTTAGATAAAGTTAACTCATTTAATTCATACTTAACTTATTTAATTTCATATTATCCTACTTGATTACTTATTATCTATTTTTCACTTGATCATTAGAATTGAAAAACTTGAAAGCTTATTTGAAATGAATAGAATCTGCCTTCTCTTGGTAAATCAATGGGAATTCAAATAGAATCTCTG